GATTGGGGTAGTGGGAGTAGGTGGGTCGGAGACAATGAGGTTGGTACAGGATAGAGCAGGGTTTAGGGCTCTTGTACATAGGGTCACTATTAGTTGCAAGAGACTCGACGGAACATAATAGTCTTATTTGCACGGAAGAAAGCTAATTTTAAGATAAACTAAGAAACTACATGATTACATAACAATAACTTTAATCACAGACTTTTATTCTGAGTGAAATTGGAATGTTAGTTTAATTATGTCGTGAATGTTTTTGAGTCTGTTAAATTTCTTTTTTCTTTTCAAACATATTTTAGACTACTAGAAATACTGGGTAAATTCACACTGATCTCTTGGAGCATTTTAAATGCCAGAATAGTCATACAGTCTTTGAATGTGATTAAAAATCTAGCATTTATGAAACTAAATTGATATAGAGTACCAGTCTCATTATTTTCTTTTAACCATTGTCCCACCTTTTGTCAGAATTCTTTGACCATTTATAGTTAACTGCCTTTTTAAAAAAGTTATATTGTTTTATTTTGCCTTCTGTGTTACAGTAATTCTTATTGTGGTCATAATATAGTGTAATACTTGAGAAGGAATAAGGAAAAAAAGGAGGGGAACTATGTTAAAGGAAGCATGAATATACTTAAATGTTTGTTATAAAATACTTAATATGTTTAAATTTTATGTCTTAATGTAAGTATATAGGAAGCCTGGCTAATATGTCTTGGACTTCAAAGAATGTCATTGTCATAAACAGTTTTCCCCCAAAACCTTTTTAAAGCTGCTGAACTCTACTGTGTTTGCAGGGATAGAAATGGAGGTGGGATAGAATGTATCTATGGTAGTTTAGAGCCTTAACACCTTCCATCTCCTTTTTTTAGTATTCTTCCTTAGTATCTTCTCAGGCATAAGTTTGTCTCCCCTAAGAATCTTTGTAGTACAGTTTGAAAATCCTGTAATTATTGTAAACATTTTATTCGTGATGAACCATCTTTGTAAATATTTGGTGAATTTCCTCATGATCCATGCAACATCCACACACCTTGGTTTTAGTTTTTTTTCATTTCAAGTTAATGTATGAGTGAGTGATTCTAGAGAATTGACAGACATTGGCTTCTTTTAAATTTTTTAAAATGATTTTTGGTGTCTTATTTAAAAGAAAAATACAACAAAAGAAATTTAATATACGTTTTTCCAAAGGTTGATAATTTAATACTCAGGGCCTAGATCATTCCTTATTATGTAGGATGTGTAGTATGTCACATAGGAGAAAAGGCTGGGTGTGTGGTCAGTAATACAGCTATTTAGAAAAGTATACCCACTGCTGGGTGAGCCCCTTCATAGCGACCCTAAATCAGGTTTCTAAAGCTGTAAATCTTAATGAAAGTAGACTACCCACCTGTGTCACTCAAATTAGCTGATGGGTTCTCTTGACCTTTTGGTTAGCGGTTAAACACTTAAACCTAATACCCAAAAGGAGTGAGGGGCTTGAGAACCCCCTCCCCCCACAATGTTTGCCAACAAAAGGCCATAACTCACCCAACCCATCCTGGCAGGAAGCAGCAGTGTCCCTAGGTCTCGTTCTTTTATATATTTTTGTCTGTATTTTTTTCCTAATAGCTGTATAGTTTTTGTTCCCACTAAGGTCATTGATCTATTTTCAGTTAACTTTCATATGTGATGTGAGTTATTTGTCCAACTTTATTCTTTTGTCCCTGGAGTTACACTTGCTCCAGTACCATATATTGAGAATATTCTTGACCTGCTGAAGGTGCTAAGCACCCTTGTAAAAAATTAACCATGGAAATCATGGGTTATTTCTGGAGTCTGAATGCTATTCCATTGGTCTGAATGTCTTTCCTTATGTCAACACCCCTCTTTTTTATTATTGTCATTTTAGAATATATTTTATAATTGGCGTGAACGAACCATCTTGGAGAGTTCTGGTGGTATAGTAGTCTGTAGGGAGTTGTGTTGGTACCCAAAGGTGCTTCTCTGATGGTTCAAAGTTTATTCTGCAGGAAAAAGGAGGACAGTCTTCTCCCATTGTATTTGTAGCCTCCTGAACACTCACTGGAGGGTTTAGCTTTATGAGTCTGTTGGGGCTTGATGGCAGTGAGTTTGTGTTTTGTTTTTTATTTCAAGACTGTCTTGACCTTTGAGGTGCTTTACAATTCCATATAAATTTGAGGATCAAATTGGTAGGAGTAGTGTTAAGTCTGTCTGCAGCTTGCTTTTGGTAGTATTACTATTTTAATAGTAAATCTTTCAGTCTGTAAGTATGGAATGAATGTTTTTTTACTTATATCTTTGAACAATGTTTTGTAGTTTTTAGTGCACAAATCTTTCACTCCTGGTTAAATTTATTCCTAGGTATTTTATTCCTTTAGGTATTACTGTAAATGGAATTGTTTTCTAAATCTTCCTTTTAGATTATTCTTGGCTGATGGTGAGGATGCATTTATCTTTTTGAAAAACAAAATGGTCTTTAACCCTAAAAGTACTATCTCATTTTCCCATGGGAAAACTTTAAAGAAGTTTGCCTAGGAGTAGAATAATTTTACAAAGTTATATACATGTCTTACAAATTAAAACACCTGAACTGCCCCTTTTTGTTGTTAGGTGCCATAGAGTACAATTCATAATGACCCTGTGGACAACAGATCTAGGCTCTGTCCTATCCTGTGCCATCTCATCATGTTCAACTTGTAGCAGTCACTGTGTCATTTAGTCTCATTGAGGGTCTTCCGTCTTTTGCTAGCCCTCTGCCCTTTCAAGTATGTTTCTTTCCAAGAAATGGTGGTGATGTGTGCCATGGAGTCAGAACTAACTCATAATTTACCCTCCAAGTGGGTTTTCAGAGGCTGCATAAGCAATGTTAACGGTTTCAAAATTTTAACATTCAGTGTACTTTCTCTTATTTATTATAAAGTGGCTAGTCAGAATTCAAATTGCCATGTTTAAAAATTAGTATAACATTAAATTTCTGAGAATACCTCTCTTCTTGGCCTTAATTGGTGCTTTTCCCCGCCACCCCTTAAAATTATAATGGAAAGGATATTAATAAGTTTTTGCTTTGAGTGTCTCCTTTTGTGTTGTAACTTGAGAGATCTTTATAGAAATGTTAACTTAAAATTTTAACTTGGTAATTTTTTTTTCTGAAAGAATACAAGATTGATTATTGTTTGAGTTTCTTAACTTTGACTATGTAGTGAAACATAGAGTGATTACTAATCTATCAGTTTCTTTCCTGAATAGATTACCAGTTAAAATGGATTTCTTTAAGGTATCTAGTTGTAATACCTAAATAGGCAACTTATTGGCCTTATTAAATTTTATTTACAAAGAGTGGAGTGTAAAACTTTGATATATTTTTAGATGATATATGCAAGTAGATCTTCCAGTGCCACATAGAAGAAGAGTATTTTGATTTTGGAATTACACAGAACTGTATTTGAATCTTGACTTCTACATTGACTGAGTTACCTTGATAAATATGTTTCTTATATTTACTTAGTAATTGATGTATTTACTTAGCAATAATTTCACAAGTGGAGGTTGGGGAGATGGGACAGAAGAGAATCAGAGACAATTACTGTTCACTTCAGACTCTGTGAATTTGTTCTCTTATTCGTTTATGAGGTGGGAAAAAACAAGATGTTCAAACATGTAAAGCCTCTGCCATGTAGTTGATTCTGATTCCTCACAGCCTTTTGGGGCAGTTAGTTCTGTAGGAGAGAACTACACCCTTAGGATTTCCTGGGCCATTATCACTGCCACAGCTTTCTTTTATGGAGTAAATGGTAGGTTCAGTCATTTGGCCTTTTCTTTTAGCAGTTGAAAGTTTAACCACTGAGCCAATAGAATGCTTCTGCTTCCATAAATCCTGGCTCCCAAGTTAGATTGTGAATTGTCATTCATACTATTTCATCACAGGCGTCTCATATCAAATATTTGGTATAGCCTCTTTTCTTGTTTGGGAACCGCATAACAAGTGATTGCAAAGACCATGGCCTGTATCAGACACACCTTAGTCTCCAGAGAGACACCAGTGCTCTTCAGTACTTTGGAGAGGTCCCTAACAGCAGACTTTCCCATGGCAGTGCGCCTTTTAATTTCCTGGCTACTGGTGCCAAGAGTGTTGACTGTGGAGCCAAGCAAACTAAAGCTGTGAACAATCTCAGTCTCTTCATCATCCATCCTGGTGCTGCCAATTGGTCCAGTGGTGAAAATCTTTGTCCTATCTTTAGTGTAGATTGTGTATTTCATGGTTATGTTCTGTTGTCTTTTCTCATCCAGATTTACTTTTCAAAAGCTAAACATGTGACTAGTGGAAACTAAATCGAAATCTTAAGATGATTTCCCATTCTCCTATCCTGCTAAGAATCTCAAGGACATCTTTTAAAGACTAAATTATTCTCAATTTTTATCCACCTCAAGTCAGATTCCATTATTGTGCATTTCACTGATATATGTTGTTGTTTGTTGTTAAGTGCCACTGAGTCAGAGGCGACTCACAGCAACCCTCTGAACTCAAAGACCTGAACACTTGTTTAATTTTCATCATTTCTCCAAGTTCATAGTTTCTGGAACAGGCTATTTCAAAACTGGATGCCACTTTTGCTTCCATGATTGTTTTAATCAGGGAGGCCCACCAAACACTGTTCCCCATGGGTAACCATTATCACATTTGACACATCTGTGTCAAAGAGTTTAGCATCACAGCAAACACAAGTTACCTCTGTAAAGCAAATGGACAGATCTGTGCTGTACCACTCCAAAGAATGCTTGACCAAAAACAATTAAAACCAGGCCTGAGGGTCACAGAGGTATTTTATCCTTGGCTTTAAAAAAAGAAATCTATATAATGGAATAAGTAACTCAGTGTTTATACCTCTCATCAGCACTAATGAACAAAGCCAGTTTTGGGGTCGGAAGAAAGATTTTGCAGACTAAAATTTTTTTTGTGTTAAAACTTTTCATTTAAAATTCTATTACCTTGCTTTCTGTAGACACCAGAGAAGAAACAATCGGAGTCATCCAGAGGAAGAAAGAGAAAAGCAGAAAACCAGAATGAAAGTAGTCAGGGTAAGTGAAACACAGTTTTGCTTCAGAGCCCAATGAGGGATTTGTAATTTGCTATTCTGAATTTTAATCATTTACTCTTTTAATTGTAAAATAGTTAATGTCATGTTTTTGTGAACTTTCTAGCTATTCTTCAATTTCTGCATTAATGACTAAGTATATTCTGTTTAGGAATACATTTTGCATGGTGTTGCCATGTACCGTTGAATTGGAACTGATTCATAGCTGACCCTCTCACAGGATTTCAGAGTCAGTAAATCACAGGAGAATTGATTGCCCATCTTTCTCCCAAGGAGCAAGTGGTGGATTTAGGTTGGCAGCACAACTCCTTACTGCTAAGCCACCAGAGCTCCCTACATTTTGCATAAGAAATAATAATGCAAATTGAAATCTTTCTGTAACACTTGATGTTACAGAAACTTGTGGTTTCTATTTTCAAGCTTTTTGTCCTTTTTTTCCCGTCCTAGACAGACAAGTATGTCTAAAATGTTTTACTTTTCATTTTCTCTGTCTATATGATTGGTACTGAAAACTCTTCTTTTTTAAATGAAACTTTTGATCTCAATTTAACACAGGTACCCAGACTATTACTTTTGTGTTTAAAAGGGCTTTATAAATGATTAAAGAGCACTCTAATTAAAATGTTGTTTTGTTCTTTCTTATATATGTTTCTTTTCTGTTGTGGGCTAATACAGTTATTTTCATTAGATTATAAAATCTTATGTCTCTCTAGAGAACAAGACAGTATTTTCATTTAACTTGGGCACTCATAAATTAAGTGTAATAAATTAGGGTGTTGAATTATGTGTAAAAATGATGTTATACATAATGTAACGCATGCTGGAACCAGTTTTTAGCCATGGTTAACTCACTGATTATATATGGTGTTGGAGTCAAGGAATTTATTTTCAATGACTGTTTTTGGAAGGAGGGAGTTAAGTCACTATAGGGCCTTTTTTTCTTTAGGTATGTTTTATTTTTTAACTCTGTGTGTTGAGCTTCTTTTTAGTCTTGATGTGGTTGCCCTACATTATGATGAATGGATTTGGAGTTTTAATTAATGTAAAATACTAGTTGCAGTACTTACAATGCAAATATAGAAGTCTTGTTGTTATGTGCCGTCCAGTTGCTTGCAACCCTATGTACAACAGTCCTACACCCTGCTCTATCCTGTGCCAGTCGCACTGCCTCTGACACACCTATCCCGATTACCCTACTCACTGAGTCAGTCCTCCTCATTAGAGGGTTTTCCCCTTCTGCGCTGTCCCTCCACCCTCCCAAGCATGATGTCCCTCTCCAAGGACCTGTCCCTCTTTACATGTCCAAAGTATGTCAGACGAAGCCCCAAAATCCTTGCCTCCAAGGAGCAGCCTGGTTTAACCCTCTCTAGAATGAAGGTTTGTTTTCTTAGCAGTCCATGATACCCTCAGTTCTTTTCTCCAGCACCACAGCTCAAAGGCATCAGTTCTCCTTCTAGCCTTCCTAGTCATTGTCCAACTCTCTGATGCATAACAAGTGATTGCAAAGACCATAGCCTGTATCAGATGCACCTTAGTCTCCAGAGTGACACCATTGCTCTTCAGTACCCTGGAGAGGTCCCTAACAGCAGACTTTCCCATCACAATACTTTTTTTTTAATTTCCTGGCTACTGGTGCCAAGACTGTTGACCGTGGAGCCAAGCAGACTAAAGTTGTTAATAATCTCAATCTCTTCAACATCCATCCTGATACTGCCAATGTAGGTCCAAATATAGGTTTCGCATTAGCACAATCAAGTGTTCTGGGATTCCCATTCTTCTCAGAGTCAGCCACAGTTTGTTATGATCCACAGAGTCAAACACCTTTGCATAATCAATGAAACACAGATAGACATTCTTCTGGTATTCCCTGCTTTCAGGTAAGATCCGTCTACCATTAGCTACAATATCCCTAGTATCACGACCCCTTCTAAACCCAGCCTGGACTTCTGGCAATTCTCTGCTGATGTGCTGTTCCAGTCATTTTTGGATAATCTTTAGTAGAATCTTGCTTGCATATGAAATCAATGATATTGTTCTGTAGTTTCCACACTATGTTGGGTCACCCTTCTTGGAATGGGAACAAATATAGATCTCTTCTAGAACTTTCAAGTGTGGAATAAGAGTCTTAGGATGTTGAAAAAATGGGAATTTTCATTTAAATTTATTATTGAGTGCTTAAGATTGGTATCTGACTCTCTGAAGACTCTTCATAATCTTTTTTTATTTATATTCTTTTTTTGTTCATTGTTGCTCATTTTTTTTCCTTCTCTTTCTCCTCACTTCTCCCCCTTTATATTCTTTTGATATCTTTTGCTACCCAACTAAATAGGGCTTACAACTTTTAAAATGCACTTGTCCCCCTTTGTTTTTATTCTGTCTACATACGAATTGTTCTAGTGTCTCTGCGTTTTAGGATGTCTGCCATTTGTAGTTGGATTTAATTTCCACTTTTTTTCTCTCATACTTGCTTTAGACAGAGAGATAGTTTCGGTGTTTTATTTCCTGAAGAATGAGGAAGCTTATTTCCTTCCAACTCAGAGCAAACCTTTCCTGTCATCGTTTTGGCGAGAATTCGGTCATATGTTCATTTCAAAACCAGTTGAATATAGCACAAGTGTTTTTTTGTCCTTACAAAAAAATGAAACCTCTCAGGAATAAATGATAGGATTAAATTCCCCTTGGGAATATGGGATATATGGAAAAGAGAACGAAACCCAAAGGAAAAGAGGTTTCTGATAAGGAGTTAAAGGAATTGAGAGCAGTAGAAATCAGCTTCCTTTCAAGAGCATAAACTGTCAAGATGAATAAAATATATGTCCAGTTAGGAAGAAAAATTAGGGAATTCTTTCTGTTGTTATTGTTGCTGTTTAATGTTGTTGAGTTCACCACAACTCACAGCGGCCTTATACAAACAGTGAATCTGAACTTTGCCCTGCCCTCTGCCATCTCAATCATCTCTAAAAAATCAAGCCCAGTCTTAAGGTCTCTCTGTCAGTCCATCTTGTTGAGGGTTTTCCCCTCCTTTTGCCCATCTTCCCTTCTTCCAATCATGATGCTCTTTTCCAAGGACTGGTCCCACCATACATGTCCAGAATATATAAGATAGTTTTATCATCCTTGCCTCTAAGAAACACAGTGGTTGTACTTTTTTCCATTACATTTTTATTTGTCCTTTTGACAGTCCATGGACTCATCAACACTCTTCTCCAGCATCACAACTCAAAGGCATTGATTCTTCTTCAGTCATTGTTATTCATTTATTGTCCAGCTTCCCAGCTGCATAGCAAGTAATTGAAAAGATCTTGGTTTGGATCAGGTACACCTTATTCTGCAAAATTTCATCATTGCTCTCTACCACTTTGGAGATGTCCCTGACAGCAGGCTTTTCCATTCAGTAGATCTTGGTTTCCTAACTGCTGGAACCAGGGGTGCTGATTATGGAGCAAGATGAAATTATTGACAGTTTCTGTCTTTTCTTCATCCATCATGATGATGCCTTTTGGTCAGTGATGAGGTTTTTTTGTTTTCTTGATGTTGAGTTGTAACCCATATTAGCCTTTGATCCTCTGCAGCAGACATTTCAAGTCCTCACTTTCAGCAAGCAAGGTTGTGTCACTTAAGTTATGCAGGTTGTTGATGAGTCTTCCTCCAAATATCTCCTCCCTCCCCCTTTTCTTCCTCCTATATAATCAAGCTTCTCCAAGATTTGCTCAGCATACGGCTTCATATGTATGGAGAAAGGATGCAGCCCTGACACACACCTTTCATAATTTTAACCTGTACAACAGCTTCATGGTTTAGATAGAGGTTTCATGTGGGCATAATTAGTGTTCGGAAATTCCCATTATCAATGTCAGCCATAATTTGTTATGATTAATGCAGTCAAAAGCCTTTGTATAGTCACTAAAACATAAATAGATATCATTTTCTGCTTTCAACCAAGAGCCTTCTGACATCTGCAATGATATCCCAATTCTTGGGCTTCTTTTAAGTCTAGACTAAATTTGTGACATTTCTCTATTAGTGTACTGTTTTAGCTGTTTTTTAATAATCTTCAACAAGACTTTTACTTGAATATGATATTAATGATACTGTTAGGTAATTGTCACATTTTAGTGCATTGCATTTTTTTGGGAATGGAAATAAATATAGATCTCTTCTAGTCATTTGGACCATGGACTGCCAAGAAAACCAATAGGTCTGTCTTGGAGAGAGTAAAACCAAGTTTCTCCTTGGAGTCTAGGATTTTGAAGCTCTGTCTCACATACATTGGGCACGCAGCCAGGAGAGACCAGTCCTTGAAGAAGGACATCATGCTTGGAAGGATGGAGGGATAGTGCAGGAGAAGATGACCCTGGATGAGATGGAATTGATACAGTAACTGGAGCGGGGGGGCGGGGTGGTATGTCAGAATTATTGAGACTGGCTCAGTACAGGGCAGGCTTCAGGGCTGCTGTACATAGGTTAACTATGGCTCGCAGGCGGCACATAACAGTAACAACAGGAAGTCATTTGACCAGATAGCTGTCCTTCAAACTTCCTAGGTTAGCTTGGTGAGCCTAGGGCTGCGTCTCTTAATTGAAATATGTCCATTGGTATCCCATGATCCCTGGGGCCTTATTTTTTACTAATGCCTTTAATGCAACTTGATCTTCTTTCATCACCATTGGTTCTTGATTACACACTACCTTCCACAGTGGTCCTGTGTACACCAGTTCTTTTTTGTACAATGACTAGGTTTCTTCTTTCCATTTTCTTTTGTGGTTTCAAGAATCATTTAGGATTTTCCCCGTGACATCCTTCAGTATTATAACTCAGGGCTTGAATTTGTCTTTTATTTTTTCAGCTTGAGAAATGTTTTCTAGCTCCAGCTGTTTGCACATTTCCTTCATAATGCGTTGATGCTGCCCTTTGAAATCTTCTTTTCCTCTCTTTTATTTCAGCAACTTTTTCCTTTGCTTTGGCTTCTCGACATTCAGATGTGATATTTAAAGTCTCTTCTAACATTCATTTTGATCTTTTCTCTCTCCTCTGTTTTTGTAATGACTTTTTTCTTTCTTCATGGATGATACCCTTTATGTCTTCCCATAATTCACCTGGTCTTTGATCATTAGTGTTCCATGTCTCAAACCTATTCTTGAAATTATTTTTAAATTCAGATAGCAAAGAGTCAAGGTCATAACCAGGCAATCTGAAACAATTCTTCTCTGAGAAACAAAATCTGCAGGAAAATTGTTAAAAGGCAGAGGGAAATTTTTTTTTTTTTTAGTTATAAAACCATTCACCATACTCTGACTTATAGAAAAACCTATACAAAACCATTGATAATATCTGTGCAAAACTTACTAGGATTTAAAAAATTTTCCTACTCAGTTCCAGGGAAGAACTTGAAGTCGTTCAGCTTTTGAATTGTTTGATCATCTCAGTCATTTTTGTGTAAATGGCACAGTAAACACTCAAGAACTATTTATCGAATAAAATAAATGAATGAATGATTTTAAGTAAGTGTCGAGTTACCATGCTTAGATTATACAAGCTTTTGATTATAATGCGGTGTTTCTCAGTATAACTTAAAGCATGTATTCTGTATATAGAACACATATTCTGTATGTAGAACAGAAGGATGGGCAAGTCCTCCCCATAAAACACTTTGTAGCAAACTCTTAATTCAATATTTGTGTAACTGATAAAAGAGTATACCAGCTGTTAAAAGGAAAAATAAAATAATAAGAAAAGAAGACTGTGATTTCTTAAGGGCCTGGTTCTTGAATAGGCATTTAACATCATGACTATGTAAGAACAATATTTAAAATCTAGTTTACTGGAAAACATTTTTTAAATTTGGAAATGCCTTTTAGAAAATCGAAGCACATTTTATAGAAAAACATTCATATGAAATGATAATGTTGTTATTTGACACAATTTGTTTACCAATTTTTTTATTATTATAGATGTGAATGAGTTTATCAGTTATGTCGATGCTCTTATCTTTTTTATCAGTGATTCACTTTTCTGAAATAATAGCCATTAAACAGTATGAATAATTTCATTTTAAAGCAAGAGGTCTATTAATCGTATATATTTTATCTATAGTTAATGGGATAGCATTTTTTTAAAGTTTTATGTTTTTGTTTTATCACTTGATATCTAGATATTTAAAATTTGTATCAGATGCTCTGAAACATCTTATATTCTTTTTATTCTCATCAATATTCAATTAAAATATGCTTTTCTGTCAAAACAGATAAACTTTCTATATATTAGAGAAATTGTTTAACACATTATTTTACTGATAAGATAGCTACAACTAATTTAAAATTGATAAAATTTTTTTACTTTCCTATTTTAGGGAAAAGTATTGGGGGACGTGGCCACAAAATTAGCGACTACTTTGAAGTAAGTTCATTGTGGAATATCTTTAGTTCCTAATTCAGTGGCATTTGCTTTAGGCTTAAAAAAGAGTGACTTTAAGCTTAAAGTTAGCTTTTGATTAGCTGCTTGATTAGAGCCGAACTTTAGTCTTAAGTGATAGCATGTCTTCTCTAGAATATTAAAATTTCATTTTATGTTGGCAGGACATATGGAGTTTTTTGGGGGGATTAATCTTTTTAATTGAAATTTTAATTAAAGTTTATAGAGAATTTGGATCTCCATTCATTCATTGTTTCACATTTTCGTCCCTGCCGCCCCTCCCACCCAGTTTGCTTTTTTCTTTGGAAAAAAAAAATCTTTCATTGTCATACAATTATATCACGATTTTTAAAGCATTTTCTTACATACTTTATTATTAAAAACTCATAGGTATAGTGAATATTGTTGATAGTCTTCTTTTACAGATGAAGAAACTAAAGGTAAGAGATGCAAAAGGACCTATCTAAAGGGCAATTCTAAATGGAAGAGCATAGAGTATAGCTAAAAATCTACCATTTCATAGTTAGAATTCTTTCCACATTCAGTAAAGGCTTTATCATAGCACAGTATCATTTGAGTCCTGTGGATGACAAATTATGCTAAGATGTTAATCTAAACATCTCAATAAAGATTGGTAAGTGTAAAGTCTTACCCAATCTAGACAGTTTTCCTTCTTTCTAAATAGAAATACTTTCATATGACTATTAAAACAACACATATGATTTACATAATGGAAGAATATTTATATTTACTTGAGAATGACATCATAATTGAGTAGAGGAAGGCCTGAGGTGGTGGTTGTGCTTGGAAAAGTAAAGAAGTTTGATGTTGTTTGTACTTTGTGCTTATAAAAGTAGAGGATACATAAAAAAAGGAAGACCCACATTTAGATGGACAACCACAGTGGGCTTCAGCATGATGGAGATTGTGAGGATGGTGTAAGATTGGGCAAGGCTTTGGTCTATTGTTCATAGGGTTTTTAGGAGTTTTAGTCAACTCACAGTTGCCAAAAATAACAGCCCCTATTTTCATTGTTTTTCTTTCTTAGGTTTATAAAATTAGATTAGAATTATTGGTCACAAGATACCAAATATTCTTTATGTAAAGTCAGTATTAGTGACTCAATGTTAGTGTCATTAAGAGCCTTTATTTAAAATAGGATCACTTCAGACAGATGTCCCTTGAATGTTTACTGTGTCCTAGGCACACAGTAGGTAGGTACTGGAGATAAAAGTCCTTAAGTTGTTTGACCATACTTGGATGTATCTGTAGTTAAGGGAAAAATTAAAGTAATAATTACTAAGTGTACGACAAACTCTGCCCTGAGAGGAAACTAATAGCAACAAATTGTTTTCATCTCTTATCCTTGGTACAGAACATGAAAAAATGAGAAAGCTTAGAAATAGATGTTTTCTCTCCACATGTAGCTAAGTTACATATTTTGTAAGAGTTTATATTATTAGCCATAACAAGATAAAGGTAAACAACCCAATTGCAAAATGGGCACATTATATGAACAGACACTTCACCAAAGAAGACATTCAGGTGGTGAACACACACATGAAGAAAACAACTATGAGCTATGATCTCAACCCAGTAAGAATAGCAAAATTTAACAGAACAGCAAACATCAAATGCTGGCAAGGTTGTGGAGAAAATGGAACCCTTATTTCCTGTTGGTGGGAGTGGAAAATGGTGCAACCACTATGGAAGGCAGTCTGGCACTTTCTCAGAAAGTTGAAAATAGAAATACCATTTGATCCAGCAGTTCCACTACTGAGTATATACCTTTTTAAAGAAACCAGAACTGCAACCCAAGAAAGTATATGCACACCCATCTTTATTGCTGCTTTGTCACAATAGCAAAGAGTTGGAAACAACCTAAGTGCCCATCAACAAACGAATGGATAGAGAAGTTGTGGTATATTCACACAATGGAATATTATGCTACATTGAAAAACAAGGAACTCATGCAATGTTATTCAAAATGGGTGACACTGGAGGACATTATGCTAAGTGAAATGTCTCAGTCACACAGGGGCAAATACTGCATAGTGCCACTGTTGTAAAACAGGACTGACATCTAGGTTGAAGGGAGACTGAGAAAGATGGGATAAATAATGTATACTGCATTGAAACAGATGAGCGAGTAAACTCTTTAAAAGGGATATGTGATTAGGTATTATTATCATGACAGGAGTCCAGAATGAAGGCTGCATAGTAGAGTGGACCTGGGAGGAGGGATTGTAAAACAATGAAAGAATTTTTCTTTTACTTTTCAAAGAGAAGAGCGAATTGCAGTGTAAAGGGTGGGCAGGGAGAAAAGT